CAGCAGGGGTCCAATGTTGCCCCTGCTTTTCCTCCGGCTCCCCACATATCTGAAAAAGGACTTCTTATTGTCCTTGATGCTCAAAGCTAGCTGGAGTTCAGTTGCAGCTCAAAGCTAGCTGGAGTTCAGTTGCAGTTGGATGACTGGTACAGGGCTAATCCATGGACCCGATCCGGCATGTCTTCTGGCCCACAGGTCTTCCCAGCAGGACAAGAGGCAGTAATGTTAGTTGCTACAGCTGTGGACTGTGATCTGGATCTTCATCACCCCTAACTTCAACTATTTGCTTACTAAGCAATAACTTTTCAGGGACTGAAAATTCACTTTGCAATGTCAGGCAGGGTTCTAACCTTTATTGTTATCCAGACCATGGATGTTTTAGTAGAATAAAAACAGAGAACCTAAGGCTAAAACATTAATCCCTGCGGCTTGTTGTTCCTATTTGTTGCATGCTAAAGTTTTATTTTGCTTAAGATCTTTAGAATGATTTTCAGTAATATTAGCTTAAAGAGCAGGGAAAGATCCTGTCTTAGTCTTTCAACCAAAAGAAAGAAAGAAAGAGAAATCTATATGCTATACTTCAGTCTTGTCAATCTCAGCTACAGACTCTGGATGGAAACTCAGATTCTACAAATAATAAAGATTGTATTTTAACATAGTTATTTGCAAGCTTTTATTCAGCTATGCGTATTGACCCAGCAAATACTTGAAGGCTAAATAGCAAGAAATAATTAGAAATAAGTGGATTCTTAGGAAATTTGTTGAGTCTAGTTTGTGAGTAGAGATGTGGAAAAGCCATACCAGAAGGGTGTTTGCTTGTGCTGGGTCAGTGAGACCACAGGAGGAGGATATTCTTTATGGAAATATAATGTTTGAGATTTTCAAAAATGGGTACTTAATGTTAAGCACCTTTGAAAATCCTAACTCTAAATCTTTATTTAGACATTTAAATAAGTGGCTTGCTTTTCAAATGCACTAAGCTTCCAAGAGTTCCCATGCAGTAGATTGCAAACATAACTTTAAACACCTATTGAGCAAGGTGTTTTTTTCTCATCTTTTACTGAATACACAAGTGTAGTACAACTCCTTTTTATAATCTCCTGTCTTTTTTAACATATCTATCAATAGATTTTATGTTAGATTTAAGAACAAACTTTATCATATTTCCCTTGGCTGACATATGCTGTTTGTCATTTTAAGTCGCAGAATTAGTAAAGAGGAAAGAAGTTAAACAAAAAATCTCTCTTCCACCTTTATGACTTCCATAAAGGCAGTAAGACAAAATGCAGTATGTCATATAAAAATGATCAAAATTTTCACTGCTTCTTAGCTTCTTGTTTTTAGGATTCGCACTGCTTATTCTGAACAGGAGTTTGCATTGCCTTTTCACACAGTTTAATATAGTATGTGAAGGGTTTGTCCTCTTAAATTTCTAACCTTTCAATAGATTGTCCTCCTTCAGACAGACCTTAAATTGAGAAAGAGAAGAGAGAACACTTAGGCAAATTAAGATATTTTTAGGGGATTACCTGTGGCTGGCAATGCTACTTTTCTCTTGATTGAAATGTCATATCAGAAATTGGGCTGATACTAGAGCTTATGCTAACAATACTAGTTGGATTCAGAAAGTGTTGCAAAAATAGATGTTGAATACTTTAAGATAAGTCTCCATGGACAGAATGTTATATTTCATCATTACTCAGTTTGTATTTCAAAAAGGATACCTAACATGATTCCAGATTCAAGTCAAAGGATATTTCTGAAAAGGTTTAATGACTAACAAAGCAAAACCTTTCACATTTTGAAGATTTAGCAAACAGAATTTGAGAGTAAAGGGTTAAAGGCTAGCAAGGCTCAAGAGATTAAAGCAACCTGTAAAACAAATGTGTAAGTCTAGAGTAGGGGAAATGATTTGGCTTTGCTTAAGATTATGTAAGACAAAATAGTGTTGGGAGTTTTGAATATTAGCTATGGACTTTAATAATTTAAAGTAGAAAACATAATATATTCATAAAGCTGGAAGATATATGACTTCACAGCCAATTTAAGATTCATGCACTGTCTGACAAGATATGAGATGAATTAGCCAGTAATACAGAACAGCCAGATTAATAAAGAAGGGAATGTTTCTTTTGTTTTGTAAGCTCTAAGGCTGATTGATACTGTCACCTTCACACCGCAGTGACATTGGTATCCTGGCAACAGGCAAATCCTCCTCAGACCCACTGTCAATTTGAGTGCATTGACATTACCATATTGAGTTTCTGAAATACATAGGGCTCCAACCAGTCGTTTAGCCAATATGCCTGTCTTTCAGTCTTCTCCCATTCCTTCTGTGGGCTTCTGCCAGCTGGATGAAATTACCCAAGGGGTCAAAAGCAGATGCCAGGCCCTCATCATCCTCTAAGTTCCATACTAGAGCTGTGCAAGGCGACCATGCAGAGTAACCGTGTAGCAGCTCTGTGGGTGATGGAAGAGGTCTTATGTTTACACTGCTTTGGAGTGTGACAGAGGAAGTGGACCTTCAGCAATTGCCTCAGCGCACTGTTCAAAAGCAGAGTGCTGCTATACAATCCCTAGTAATAATTTTGATTAGAAGGATTTATTAGGTATATCGTTATTTAGTAATAATCATGGCATGATTATGAAAATAAATCTCTGCACACTTATGGGTAATTAACAATTGTCTACATGTTAGAGAAATCTGCATGCTACTCTGACTACTAATAAATAACTGCGGTGATTATGTGGATTTCCCATAACAAAGGAGAATCTTGAGAATATCAGTAATCACCATCAGGCCTTTCTGTCTGGGTGGCTGAACATGATGGTGCTTCTGTGAATTTATGCAATAGATTTGGGAAAGAGGAAATCTAATAATATTTACTTGGTAGACATGACCACACAACATTTCAAACACCTGTCCCCATCTGCTCCAGCATAGAAAAGGTTACTGAATCTCTATAGAGTATGCTTTCCTTACAGAAGCACAAAAGAAGCAAATGGAAGATAACGCTGATCTTATCCAAGAAGAATGCATATCAGAGAATGCAGATAACTCTACAGAAGAACCAACTGAAGGAGGGCCAGATGGAGATGGAGAAGAGATGACTGATGGAATAGAGGAGGATTTTGATGAGGATGGCAGCAATGAACTGGTAAGAAATTAGCATACCACATCTTTTTATACATTTAATTTATAACCATGGAAGTCATAATTGGATGAGGGTTATCAAAACTTGTTGATAACAGTACTTGGATGCAGAGTTCCACCTTATCTTTACACTCAAACTCTTACTAATTTAGTAAGCATTTCAAGTAGGAAAGAAACGTGGGTAGGTTTAGGTTTTTTAAAAGAAGGATGCAACCCCACGCCTTGCTCTGCTGATGGGAAGTGTCAGCCACTCGAGGGTGTCCCACAATTTGTGGAGTCTATGTGGAGGAGTTGGGAAGCAACCTCTTTTCTGCCATGATGAAAAGTTGGAGAGGCCCCAAGTGCCTGTCACCCCATTCTCTAATTCTGAATCGCACTGGTTTCTGCACCCTGGGCAGAGGTGGAGTGTACCAGCAGCGCAGCAGTGGCAGTGTTACCTATCATGGCTTGGGCTCCCTGCATTCCAGCTGCAGCAACTGGTGCACGTGGCTCTTCTCTGCACTCCCTCAAGCTTCTCCACATCCTTTTTGAATTGTGGAGCCCAAAACTGGATGCAGTACTCCAGCTGCGGCCTCACTAAGGCCGAGTACAGGGGGAGAATGACATCCCGGGATTTGCTTGAGAAGCATCTATGGATGCAAGCCAGCATTTTGGTCGCTTTACTAGCCGCCGCATCGCATTGCAGGCTCATGTTCATCTTGTGGTCAATGATGACCCCCAAGTCTCTTTCTTCCATAGTGCTAGCCAACATAGCACTGCCGAGCCTATAAAGATGCTGCGGGTTTTTTTTCCCAAGGTGGAGAACCTTGCATTTATCGGCGTTGAACACCATCAGATTCTCGTCCGCCCACTTGCTGAGCCTGTCCAGGTCAGCCTGGATAACCCGCCTGTCTTCTGGTGTGGATGCTTTGCCCCAAAGTTTGGTGTCATCGGCGAACTTGGCCAGTCCGCTTCTGACTCCAGTGTCCACATCATTAATGAAGATGTTGAACAGTATGGGTCCAAGGACAGAGCCTTGGGGGACCCCACTGGTCACAGGACACCACGATGAGTGACTTCCATCGATTACTACCCTCTGGGTCCGACCCCGGAGCCAATTTTCCAGCCAGCGGATCGTGGAGGACCCAAGGCGACAATTGGCCAGTTTCTCCAAGAGGCGATCATGGGACACCAGATCGAAGGCTTTTTTGAAGTCAAGATATATGACATCAATCTCTTCTCCCTTGTCCAGGTGATAGGTCACCTGGTCGTAGAAGGAAATGAGATTGGTCAAGCAAGACCTACCCGCAACAAACCCGTGCTGGCTATCCCTTAAGATGTTGGCGTCGGCCAGTCCATTAAGGATGGCCTCTTTAATAAACTTTTCTAAGATCTTCCCCGGGATAGAAGTCAGGCTGATGGGCCTATAGTTAGCCGGATCCACTTTCCTCCCTTTCTTGAAGATAGGCACCACATTGGCCTTCTTCCAGTCTTCGGGCACTACACCAGAGCGCCAAGAGTTTTCAAAGATCCGTGCTAGAGGCTGGGCTATGATGCTCGCCAGCTCCTTGAGTACCCTGGGGTGAAGATTGTCAGGGCCAGCTGACTTGAAGGTATCCAGCTTCTCAAGATGTTCCTTCAGAAAGTCAGCATTAATGGAGGGCAGGGGATCACCCTCACCCGGACTTCCCGGCCCTGTAGCGGGCGTCCAATGTTGCCCCTGCTTTTCCTCCGGCTCCCCACATATCTGAAAAAGGACTTTTTATTGTCCTTGACGCTCAAAGCTAGCTGGAGTTCAGTTGCAGCCTTGGCTTTCCTGGTCTGCTCCCTACAGGACCGGACCAGTGCATCATGGAAACACTCCCCAAAAATATCTCAGGTATAGGCAGAGACAGAGCAGGCCAACGGTGATAAGAGGATGAGAAGGCTTTAATTAGGGGGATCTAATCAGTTCACATGGGCTGGCCATACAAGGCAGAGAAGCCTCCCTATTGTAATCCTATGTGCAGGGAAAGGCACAGAGAGGATCTCAGCTCCAGCCTGATTGGACATAGGCTACTCTTCTTAGGACCTGGCCATCCCCTAAGTGGTTTGACCAACCCTTCTCTGTTATGCTAAGATGGGAAAGAGAATTTTATTCTGTTCAGCTATATAATGTACTTTTTCACAGATTTAAGGAGCAAAGCTTTTAACTACCTGCTTAACTCTGATCCTTCAACAGGACTGAAGCCAAAAATTTAAATTTTTGAAAATTCATTAATATAATTGCTCCTTTTTATTTTGCTTGGCATCTTTAAGTCCATGACAAGATACCACAGCCTACAAGCCATAGAAGCAAATGAGGAGCTTTCCTTCAATTTGATTGGTATTTATTTTATGTGATACTAAGGTCTGCATAATGCTTATAAAAGCAGAGAACTTTAAACTTCCTTTTGTTGTGTGGCTTCTACCTTACACATGTTCCCAAGTACCCTTTGCAGTGTATGTGGTAGCTGAGAGTGTGCAAGGTAGTGGAAAGGGTTCTGGAGTTAGCAAATACAGCTTTTCTATCACTTTATTGGTTTAGTAACTGAGGTAACAAGCACAGTCCTATAATGTTTTTCCGTTATTTCTCTGAACTAGAGTTTCAAATAGTGTTAATCAATCGCTAAGGAAGCATAGACATAATATGAATGACTACTTATCATCACAATCCCTTTCTAAATAACAAAGGTGACAGCTAATTAATTACTTTACAGCCTGAGGTACTGTAGATTTAAAAAATAGCATTTTCTGGTAATGCCTTAACAAAATATTCACAAACTAATTAACTGCAATAAATTATATGCATGTACATATCTATATTATATTGCCTAAGAAAAATACTTTCCATCAAGTTGTCAGCCAATCATAATAAATAATCATAATAAAATAATAACACGGTGATGGTTCAGTAGTTGTGCAGTCACTAGACCAGATTATAATCTCAGATATACCAGGGCAATTCCACTGATTCCAAATACTACAGATTTACAATGGTGTAAATCAGATAAGACTGGCCAAGTCTCCATACCACTTGAAGGATGTATTATTACTGCATTATTCCAATTTTATTCTAGCATAACTCCACTGAGATCAGTGAAGTCACAGTGGAAAAAGGAGTAATGCAGTTATGAGTCAGGCCTGGAAGGCTTTTTTTTAATTGTATCAAGTTTAAGAAATATAGATTCATAGATTGTAGAGTCGGAAGGGACCACAATGGATCATCATGTCCGACCCCCTGCCCCTGGCAGGAAAGAGGACCAAGGTCAGATGACCCCAGCCAGGTGACTATCTAGCCTCCTCTTGAAGACCTCCAAGCTAGGTGATAGCACCACCTCCCTTGGAAGCCCATTCCAAGGCCACCCTTACTGTGAAAAATTTCTTCCTAATACTTAACCTAAATCCACTCTCAACTATTTTACACCCCTTATTCCTAGTCACTCCCTGGGGCGCCTTAGTAAACAGCGCTTCCCCTATTCCCTGTTGACCTCCCCTAAGAAAATTATAGGCGGCCACAAGATCTCCCTTCAGCTGTCTCTTGTGAAGGCTGAAAAGATTCAGCTCTCTCAACCTCCCCCCGTAGGGTCTATCATGAAGGCCACTAATCATGCGAGTGGCCCTCCTGTGGACCTTCTCGAGATTCCCCGCGTCCCTCTTGAAGTGCGGCGCCCAAAACTGGACACAGTACTCCAACTGCGGCCTGACCAGTGCCGCATAGAGGGGGAGCATCACCTCCTTTGTTCTATTAGTCATGCACCTGCTAATGCACGACAAGGTGCGATTGGCCTTGTTGATGGCCTCGTTTCACTGCCGGCTCATGTTCATCTTGGAGTCAATTATGACTCCAAGATCCCTCTCTGCCTCCGAGCTGCTGAGAAGGACACTCTCTAACCTATAGGTGTGCTAGGGGTTCCTCCTTCCCAGGTGGAGTACCTTACTTATCTTTATTAAATTGTATCCATATAGATGTTTAAGGAAAATAAAAAACCTATTAGGACTGATTGCAGATTCACACTAACTTCACAGATGGAATCAGCTGAGATCAGTTGATTATTCCCTATCTCTTATTTACCCAAAGAATCTTCTCTCCCTATCTCTTAGACACTTTTCTGGTAGGCACAATTATTTCCTCTGTATTATCCTTTTTTAATCTACATATTTCATTCCTGCATGCTAACCCTCTGTGGGTGCTTCTAAATGTGCCATTATGGGGCAGCAATAAACTCCAGTGCTTATTGCTCCACAATGTATTGCTCCTGGGAAGCTCCCAAGATGTGCCTGCATGTGTACCCAAACTGCAGCACATTGAGCAGGGTCACAGCAGCCCTGGCTGTCAGGGGCCTGACAGGTCAGCTTGCCAGCCCAGGGCTGCTCCAACCAGGCTCAGTGAGCTACAGAGGGGCTGGCTGGGTCACAAGGATGCTTCAGCGTGAGGCTAGCCAGCAGATAGTCCTGGCACTGAAGCACCCTTGTGTTAGGGTTACCATATTTCCAGTTCCAAAAAAGAAGACACTTGTCCCCCCATATGACTGTGGGAGAGCAGTGATATGCCAGTGCCTTGCCCCTGCCCATTCTTTTGCCCCTTATTCCCAAGCCACAGCTCCTCCCAGCCCTGCTGCTGCCCCTCGCTCCTGACCCACAGACCCCAGCCCTGCCAGTTCCCCTCACTCCCAACCCACAGTCCCCAGTCCCTGCTGCTTCCCCTCACTCCTGACCTGCAACCCCCTGGTGCTGCCAGTGCCCCACCTTCCCCAGTTCACCCCCCACAAGGGACGGCTCTGCTGGCAGGTACCTGCCCCCTCACACACACCCCTGCCATACACACACCACACATACACACCCTGGACAGTCCCCAAGCCCTGCCCTCCAACTCCTGCTCCACACAGACTTAACTGTATCCAGCTGCCAGGCTGCTCCCACCCCCTGCCTGGCTACATGCTGGCCATGTGTGTGTGCACCCTGCCTCCAATCACCCTGCTCCCCCAGCCCCAAGCAGCTCCTTGC